ATTTGAAAATATATTTGATAGTTGTTTGATCCCTCTTGCCCACACGGGTAGCTGGCACGCCCACAGGGTAACAGTGACGCCCACACGGGTAGCTGGCACGCCCACAGGGTAACAGTGACGCCCACACGGGTAGCTGGCACGCCCACAGGGTAACAGTGACGCCCACAGGGTACAGTAGCAGTAGTCGTAGTAGTAGTGGTAGTATGAGTTGCAGTAGTCGTTGTTGCTATCATAATAATGTTCCCGTTACTCTACCGTTGTTGCTATCATAATAATGCTCTACCGTCACCAGCCATTCCAGCGTCATCATCCTAATCATCATCTACAATGTAACCTGCAGCACCGCGCTGCTGTACGTCCTTGATTTGTGCTGCATTGCAATGCAGTATTTTAGTGCCTTGTGCTGGAGTGTTCTGCAGCGTGGGGGGGGGGGGAGGCGTCAAGTGATGGGCGGGGCTAGAGCGAGGGAGGCCCCGCCCACAGCGGCCGAGAGAGGCCCCGCCCACGGCGGCCGAGGGCGGGCTGGGATGCGAGTGTGTCAGTACGAGTGTGGCCGAGGCTGTGTCAACACCGCCAACGACCGGCCTTAAACAACACCCGTCTGTCTGTCTGTCTGTTAGTGTCTGTGTCTGTCTGTGTGACCGCGGAGTCTTACGGGGAAGTCGCCGACTATCGCGCCACGAAGACATCTCAAGACAGAGGTAGAATTTTATTTGTGATTTTAATTATTTTTTTTTTATTTGCCATTTTGTGTATTTGGTGATCGGGTGTTTGTGTGTTTTTTTTTTGGAAAGACATCACAGTCCTCAAGGATTTTTTTTGGTGAGTAGAAGGACGAGTGTTGGTGGTTAGTGAGGTGTTGGTGCTTCTCCTGGCGTGGCTTGTAAGTCAGAGCTCCTCAGGAAAGCTTTTTATACAAAGGATATTTGTTGGGAATTTACCCATAAACAGCAACTTTTTGGGTCCAGGGAGAGTGGGAAGGATCACACCTTGTGGGGCGTTGAAATTTCCTGCTTGGTGGTGGGTGCCGTCGGCGCCTACCACTACCACCATCACTACCCATACCACCACCACCACCACCACCACCACCACCACCACCCCTACCACCACCACTACCCCTACCACCACCACCACCACCACCACCACCACCACTGCCCATACCACCACCACCACCACTATCACCCATACCACCATTACCCATACTACCACCACCACCACTACCCGTACTACCACCACCACCCATACCACCACCACCCATACCACCACTACCCATACTACCACCACCACCCATACCACCACTACCCATACTACCACCACCACCACCCATACCACCACCACCACCACCACCCTTACCACCACCACCACTACCCATAGTACCACCACCACCACCCATCACCACCACTACCACCCTTACCACCACCACCCATACCACCACCACCACCACCACCACTGCCCATACCACCACCACCACCACCACCACCACCCATACCACCACCACTACTACCCATACTACCACCACCACCACCACCACCACCACCACCACCACCCACCACTACCCATACCACCACCACCACCTACCACTACCCATACCACCACCACCCATATCACCACCACTACCCATACCACTACCACCACCACCACCCATATCACCACCACCACCGATATCACCACCAATACCCCATATCACCACCACCACCCATACCACCACCACCACCACCACCCATACCACCACCACCACCACCCATATCACCACCACTACCCGTACCACTACCACCAACACCACCCATACCACCACCATTACCCACACCACCACCACAACCTCCACTCATACCGCTACCACCGTCACCCATTCCACCACCACCACTACTATCCATACAACTACCACCACCACCACCACCCCCGTTACCTCCACCACCACTACTCATACCACTATCAAGGACACAGACGGAATCTGGAAACACAAAGGAGCCGAAGGAATGTAAGGAAATAATCGTACCCTGTACGAGTAGTTAACAAGTGGAATGAATTGAAAGAAGAAGTTGTGGAATCCACCTCCATCCACAACTTTAAGTCCAGATTTGGCAAAGAATTTGAACGTCAAATTACATTGTAATGCAGCAGGTTAAACAAGACTGGTCGGCGGGGCGTTCAGAGCTAGACCTAACTTCCACGTTGACACTGTTAGGTAAGGACTTTTAGGTAAGCACTCTAACACCACCACCAGCACCCACTACCACCACATCTCCCACTACACATACTGCCACCACCAGCACCCACCACCACACATACTGCCTCCACCAGCACCCACTACCACCACATCCCCCACTACACATACTGCCACCACCAGCACCCACCACCACCACACATACTGCCTCCGCCAGCACCCACTACCACCACCAGCACCCACTACCACCACAACCACCACCTCACATACTGCCACCACCTGCACCCACTACCACCACAACCACCACCTCACATACCACCACAACCACATCAGTTAGCGAGTCAGCTAATGGAAAGGAAAAGAGCGGTAGTCGTGGTAGGTATTAGTAAACATGAAGATTCCAAACAGAAAGAGTGGAGAGCTAAGGACAAAGCTGCAGTGTCAGGGATACTGAAGGAGATAGGAATGGAAGGAGCAGAGCAATACATAGAGACATTTTAAGGATTGGCCAGTACAACAAAGACAAAAATTGATTGATCAAGGTAGTATTCAGGAACGAGGCCATCAAAATGGACATTCTAATAAAGAGAGCAAACTGCAATATGTAAGAGAATACAGAGAGGTATTCCTACAGAGGAACATGACCAGGGTCGAATATCAAAAGTAGTGAAGTAATTAAGTACAAGAATATGGAGAAACTACATGAATAACAGAACACCAGAGAGGAGGAAGAGATACCAGAGAGCAAGAAATCAGTACATAAGAGGGAGGAGAGAAGCAGAGAGGCAGTATGAAAATGACATTGCGAGTAAAGCTAAGACCCAACCAAAACTGCTCCACAGCCACATCAGGAGGAAAACAGCAGTGAAAGAAAAAGTCAATGAAACTGAGAAAGGAGGAGAACAGATCCACAGAGAATGACAAGGAGGTGAGTGAATAATTCAACAAGAGATGCTAGAAGGTCTTCACAATAGAGCAAGGAGAAGCCCCCTGTACTAAATGAGGAGGCAAAGCAAGCATCCTTGGAGGAATTTGAGCTCACCAGTGATGAGGTCAAAAGGAATCTGTTGGAGCTGGATGTGACAGCTGTTGGGCTTGACAGACTCTCACCATGGATACTAAAAAAAGGTGCAAAAGCACTAAGTGTGCCACTTTCTATGGTGTATAACAGGTCACTGGAAACAGGAGACCTACCGGAAAGCTGGAAGACAGCTAACGTAGTCCCAATATACAAGAAGGGGTGACAAGCAAGAGGCACTGAACTACAGGCCAGTTTCCCTAATTTGTATACCATGCAAGGTGATGGAGAAGATTGTGAGGAAAAGGCTCGTAGAGCATCTGGAGGGAAACAGCTTTGTAACACACCACCAGCATGGGTTCAGAGATGGTAAATCGTGCCTCACAGAATTAACAGAATTCAATGACTAGGCAACAAAAGTTAGGCAAGAAAGAGAAAGGTGGGCATACTGCATTTTCTTGGACTGTCAGAAAGCCTTTGACATAGTACCCTATTAAAGGCTGTTACAAAAAGTTGGAGAAAAAGACAGGGGGGGGGAAGATAAGGTGTTTCAGTGGATAAGGGAGTATCTAAGCAACAGCAAACAGCGAGTAACTGTGAGGGGGTGGGGGGAGACATCAGAGTGGCGAGATGTCACCAGCGTAGTCCCACTGGGCTCTGTACTTGGACCCATCGTGTTTGTGATATATATAAACGATCTTCCGGAGGGTATAGACTCATTCCTTTCAATGTTTGCTAATGATGCAAAAATTATGAGAAGAATCAAAACAGATGAAGATAGACAAAGACTATAGGACTATCTGGACAAACTTGAGGAATGGTCTAGGAAATGGTTACTAAAGTTTAACTCCGGAAAGTGTAAAGTAATAAAATTAGGTAAAGGGAGCAGAAGGCTAAACACGGTACCATCTAGGAGGTGATATCCTGCAAGAGTCAAATAGAGAGAAAGATCTGGGGGTTGATATCACACCGATCCTGTTCCCAGAAGCCCACATCTAAAGATTATCATCAGTGGCATATGCTAGATTGGCCAACATAAGAACTGCCTTTAGAAACTTGAGTAAGGAATCGTTCAGAACCTTGTATAGAACTTATGTCAAACGAATCCTGAAGTTTGCAGCTCCAGCTAGGAGTCCATTTCAGGTTAAACACAAGACAAAGAGAAGATTCCAAGGTATGCACCAGACTAGTCCCGGAACTGAGAGGTATAAACTACGAGGAAAGGCTACGGGAGCTAAACCGCTCGTACCTGTAAGATAGACGAGTAAGGGGAGACATGAACATCACCTACAAAGTTCTCAGGATAATTGACAGAGTGGACAAAAACAAACTCTTTAGCACAGGTGGAACATGAACAAGGGGACACAGATGGAAATTCAGTACCCTGATGAGCGACAGAGACATTAGAAAGAATTTTTTTTCAGTGTCGGAGTAGTTAATAAATTAAATACATTAGGCAGTGATGTGGTGGAGATTGACTCCATACACAGTTTCAAACGTAGATATAAGCCTAGTAGGCTCAGCAGTCTGTACACCAGTTGATTGACGGTTGAGAGGCGGGACCAAAGAGCCGAAGCTCAACCCTCGCAAGTACAACTAGGCGAATACAACTAGGTGAGTACATTATACAGCGTAAAGAGCATTAAACTGCGAGGATATGTTTAAGAAACATAAATCTCTCAACACTAGCAAAAAGAACAAAGAGACATGATCACAACATACAAATTACTGAGGTGGCATAGAAAAGCTGGACATTGATTGACTCTATACATTGAGAGAAAGTGGGATAAGAGGATATAGATAAAAACTGGTAACGCAATGAGTCGCAGAGTTGTAAGGAGAGACGCGTGCCCTGCACGGCTGGTCAAGGGGAATGTACGGAAAGAAGAAGTGGTGGAAGCCACCTCCATCCTCACCCTTAACGACATGATCGTTAATTATAATGCTGCAGGTACAACAAGGCTGGTAGGCGGGACCTGCCTTCCTCGTGGTCACTGATAGGTTACTATTGTACGATATGCACCACCACCACCACCCACACCACCACAACCATCACCCACCACCCACACCACCACCAACACCACACCACCACCTACACCACCACCACCACAACCACCACCACAACCACCACCACCCACACGACAACCATCATCCACACCACCACCACCACCCACACCACAACCATCACAACACACCACCTCCACCCCCCCCCCACCACCACCACACCACAACCACCACCTACACCACTTACACCACCACCACCACCACCACCACAACCATCCACACCACAACCAATAACACCACAACCATCCTTGTTTATGCTTCCTCCATCACCCCCTTATACCACCACCATTCATACCACTATACCCCCCACCCCCCAACCATACCACGGCTTCCACCACCCATTCCCCCGGACACAGCAGTGTGGTGTGACAGCACCGGAGCACAGGTCCATGCCAGCACTTCCACCAGCAGTATCTGGGGACTATAGGGTCGTGGTGTATGGGGGAGAGTGGTGGCGTGTAACGTAACCGGTTCCTGTACAAGGCCCGAGGCCTGGCTCTCATCCCAGGAGTACCGGTGGTCAGCCCATACACCCCACAGCCTCCACCACCACTCTACCACCACCACCACAATCTTACCACTATCTCTCTACCAGCACCATATGGGAACAACCATTCTGCAGTCAACATATATCAACCATCATACCATGATTGTCATACAACGACGGTTATACCTCAACCATACTATCATCATACCACCTGCATGCCACTGCTATCATTCCATCACAAGCAATACACCACCACCACAACACTACTAGTACTGGTGGATGCTGATGGATCAAATTTTAATCTGCCAGCAACACTGGCGGGTTTGTTGGTTGGGGAGTGAAAGTAAGGGAGAGTTAGTGTACACACTACAGCAGTGTGTACGGTACAGCAGTGAGTGTGTACGGTACAGCAGTGTGTACGGTACAGCAGTGAGTGTGTACGGTACAGCAGTGTGTACGGTACAGCAGTGAGTGTGTACGGTACAGCAGTGAGTGTGTACGGTACAGCAGTGAGTGTTACGGTACAGCAGTGTGTACGGTACAGCAGTGAGTGTGTACGGTACAGCAGTGTGTACGGTACAGCAGTGAGTGTGTACGGTACAGCAGTGTGTGTGTGTACGGTACAGCAGTGAGTGTGTACGGTACAGCAGTGTGTACACACTACAGTATTACTTTAACCAATGTTTTCCTCTCTCTTACCCATGCACTCTTCTCTTCCACATTTGCATTACCCATCCACACTTCCCCATCTCACTTACTCCATGCGCTTCAACCCATTACTTTGTCCTTTCGAACCGACCGCATCATTCCACCCATTCTCGCCATCCCCGCTCCACCCTATTCTACAGACACTCTACCGACTTCCTATCCACCCTTCCATAGACGCAGGAGATAGGTATGCGGTCTGGATATACCTATTCCCGCCCCTCCCCATCCCCTCCCCCACTTCTCCACCTACCCATCATATATCATCCTTACCTTACCTTCACCTTCAATACCCACATCACGACCCTTTGTATTACGTGCCATCATCCCCTCCTCCTTCCCCCTACACTGGCTTCGTCTCCTCTACTCCCTCGTCTACCATTCTACTACCCTACTCTCCCTACCCTTCACGCCTACCCTACCTTTCCCTAGTCAGATGGGGTTCGGTTCGCTCTATAGCCAGGTCTCGTCTGGTTTCATCAGGTATCTTTAGGTCTGGTCAGGTCTCATCAGGTCTGCTCTAAGATTAGGTTAGGTCTAGTCTGGTGTAGTTATGTCTGGTCTCGTTATAGGTTGTTCACGTCTGGTTAGGTCTATATAGTCAGCTATAATCAGGCCTGGTGTGGTGTGGTCAGGCGTGGTTGGATCTGGTCAAAGTGAGGTCGAATCACGTTTTTCTGGTGGTTGTCAACCAGTTTTACAGTTACCTTATGCAACCACAATACAATTTAGAATTTAAGTTGACTTGTTGATAATAAAAACTGTCTCCCTGAGTCACCAGACTCCAGCCGAGTGTCTTACTATAAATATTATCACAAGAAGCTGTTATATTGTTTGTTCAATGGATAAGAAGAAGAACAATTTGGTATTTGCTTAGGATCAGAGGAAATTTTCAATGAAGAACAATATGTTGGGAATTATGCTCCGTTCACTATGCTGGTTAGCATTGTAACTGTGTGGCCACGTTTGTGGTAGAAACGACAAAAGGTAAACAAAGAACGAAAGGGGCCATCGGGGATCGAACGACGACCCAGCAAGATGCGAAAGCGTTGCACTGTTAATAAGACGAAATGGTTGGATGGGCAAGTTAGGAAATAACTGCTATTGTTTTCTTTTTGTTTTAAAGCTGAGAACACAAAGAAGAACAATGACAAGGACAAGTTACAAAATACGAGATAAGAATAAGAGAGAAATAATGACAATCAGAACAGCTGGTTCTCTCAACTGGGAGTTTTCATCGAAAACATTTTTTTTAATATTATTATTTTTATCATCGTCAATATTATAATATTACATCTATGTCTCTTTGATTAATTATAATTTGTTAAAGTTATTGTTGTCAAATTAATGTAAATACCGACAATTCAGCCCCCTGGCTGAGCCCTGTGTCAAGACTGACTGATAAGAACCTGATTGTAACCCGACTTAATTTGTGATCTATGGATGATACACTCCCGGCATGCCTCTGGATGTGTGTGTGTGTGTGTGTGTGTGTGTGTGTGTGTGTGTGTGTGTGTGTGTGTGTGTGTGTGTGTGTGTGTGTGTGTGTGTGTGTGTGTGTGTGTGTATGAGAGAGAGAGACCCTTACTTCCCTTTGGCTCATCTTGAGTTCAAACTTCAACCTACTTCCTCTTGTCCTGTTTTTTATCCTCAATTTTAATTTTTGCTCAAGTACTTTGCATATCATGATCATATTCTGTCTGGTCACTTGCGCACTCCATAGCTGCTATATACTGCCCTTGACGCACTGACCTCATTGTTCGCCTGCTGGCCTGCTTTTCGCGCCTCGCTGGATGCGGGTTACATGTCTATGCTATATACTCATGGAGACTTCCAAGATCTCCTGTGTACATAGTTTAGGAAGACCCCATATTTAGGCCTTCAAAAGCCTGCTTAAATATTTATGAGTTTTCCCTCGAGCCTTACCTGATGGCCGAGCCTTACCTGAAGTTGGTTCCTAGAGTTCCCCTACTGCCCAAGCCTGGTCTGGGGCCAGGCACATGATTACCTGATTTAAAAAGCCATTGCTTGGCGCAGCCCCAAGGCTCACCTACCCATTACTTCCCTGTTGGTTCAGCAGGCACGTCGCTTTGATTCTTTCTGAGAAGCGGGATAGGGCTGGGGAGGGTAGACATGGGGGGGGGGGTTCCAGGACAACCTGTCTTCGGAAGTAGGATTCTTGACCTTCTGTCCTCGGGGGAACTCCTGTTGCAATGATCCAAATGTCACAGCTCCCCCGGGGGGGGGGCGGAGTGACCAGCCTACCTCACAAGGCCATTATGGTCATTCAGTGGAACGTTCAGGTTACCTGAGGCATTGGGTGGCACTGTGCCATGCCTCCCTTATGCCCTAACTGGCAGTTGTCCTTATACATCACCCCTGAACCGGTTGCATAACACCACAGACCATCATTCATGGCTAATATTGCTATTAAGACAAACTCAGACCCTACATTGTTTCATTAATGAAAAAAGAAACAAATTACTCAAGCGCACGAAAAGCCACAATTAAACAACGACACTCAACAATAATTCCTTCAATCAAAATAAAACACAATAACAACTGACCATTGTTAATGTGTTTCACCATTATACATTATGTACAAACACATTGTACCAGCCGAGTAGACAGCAAAAGCGTCAAACAAACAGCCATTATCCATGGGTCAAGTAAACCACGGTCAAACCACCACTCATTGACTGGAACAGTGAACAGGGATCAGTTCAACTCTTGAGAGTGTTTAGCGAGCAAACAATGACTGGTGGTGGTGGTGGTGGTTGTTAGTGACAACTCGACTGGATCAATTGGCCTTGAATAAATACTTTGTTGTATGTTTTACTGAAACTCAATTTTTGTTATGGTCCTTTTTTATTTTATATGGAATAGTGGTTTGTTGATTTGTACGAGGTGCATTTAAGTCGCTTTAGATTTATGATTTGGATAATGACTATATTAGCTAAAATGATGTGGATATATATATATATATATACAGCCCGTCCTCATCAACACCAGGACGGACTCGTGTTGATGAGGATGGGTTGGTGTTGATGAGGACGGACTCGTGTTGATGAGGACGGGCTGGTGTTGATGAGGACGGACTCGTGTTGATGAGGACGGACTCGTGTTGATGAGGACGGACTGGTGTTGATGAGGACGGGCTGGTGTTGATGAGGACGGACTGGTGTTGATGAGGACGGACTGGTGTTGATGAGGACGGACTCGTGTTGATGAGGACGGACTGGTGTTGATGAGGACGGACTGGTGTTGATGAGGACGGACTCGTGTTGATGAGGACGGACTGGTGTTGATGAGGACGGACTCGTGTTGATGAGGACGGACTGGTGTTGATGAGGACGGACTGGTGTTGATGAGGACGGACTCGTGTTGATGAGGACGGACTCGTGTTGATGAATTCGAAACTAAAACTAGATATAAACGGTATCTCTACCTAACTATAAACGAAATTATACTACAAGTTATTCTTTCTATTTAAAAACTAGCGACTTTGAATGCACAGTGAGTCTCAATTAGCGTCGGGGGCCGCCTGGACGAGCCTCGCCTGAGGACAGGTTGTGGATAGCGGTGCTGAGCCCACGTTGTCCTTGTGGTTACTGAGGAGAGCTGAGCCTCGTGCAGCCGTCTCGTTGTTGGCACAGCCCATCATCACTGCCCATCATCACTGCTCAGCATAACAG